CAACATATATGAATCACATGATTTACATAATATACATGTATAGCATATACATTCTACGACAAGTATATAAAAATGACAAGTGTACTAATGTAATAAGATGTCATATAAACTATTTTACAATTATTGGGTATAGAATTGACAAACTTATTGATTACTATTCACTTGGTTACTGGTCACTGATTATGAATTATATTGCTTACACGAATTTTATTACTTATATGATATGAAACTTATGATATTAACTACCACATATTTTACAGTTATATCTTCATACGGATAGTGATTGAATAATTATATGCATATTGTTTCTAGTGTTTTGCATTAATTTCAATTGTAGGTTCCAGTAATTTATCAAGTTGTTAGCTCACTCTATGGTTTTTCATGTTTTTAGGAAGAGGACAGGATCCAATAGAGTAATGATAGATCTGAGATTCAAGTTTTATTTTGTTTTTTTGCATTTTCTTTGGTTAATTCTTTTATAATCATGAGCTAAAAGATATATTGATTAATGTATGGATTGAACTCTTCTCTATTGTACATAATTTTTGAAGAATTAATATAATTTTATATTTTAATGTATATGATTTTTAGTTGCTTCTGTTAGATTATTTACGTTGATGAATTCAAAGAAATTCTAGTTGATTAATTAAGATATTAAAATAAGCAATTCTTTTAAAATTTGACATTGGACATTACAAATTTAGCCCAGAGAGTTAAGAGGCGTAACATCTACTTACAAGGGTTTGTTAAAGATAAAGCTGGAGAATATAACATAGACTGGCTAAAATAATGAAGTCAAAGTACAATAAAAGTAACCCAAACCAGAGTGATAGGTTTTATGAATGAGTCAAAATAAGGAGCCGCTTTAACACACACAATCAGATCAACGAAAAAATTTTATAATCTAGTTTCTTCCAAATTTTGGATTTTAAACCCTTTTTCTACACTTTAAAATCTATTTTTACTAGATTTAAAATAATCCAAGGTAAATTTGCAAATTTAAAAATGTCTGCAATATAAATATATAATTAAAAAATCCAAACATCATGTATTTAATGATTTTCAAAATTTTATAAAGGGTGACATTGTCAAGCCAAAGGAGGACATGTGTTAGTTCCCTATTGTACCATGCAACAGGTAGTTAAAGTGGCACCCTCCATGAATACTAAACTTTGATAATGTCGCTTGTCATGTTGCATGCCACATAAGCCTATCTTTTTTATATGACACATTAATATCATGTAATGAGGCACTAACCTAGTAGCCTCGTGCCATGGCATGCTAATTAAGAGTCCATGTCAATTTATCAAAAGGGTTAAGATGGATTAATGGCAGGTTTGTCTACTTGTAGGCTTATTAAGTCTACAGGCCCACCTTTTTCATATATTACACCTATATTTATCTAGCTAGTTAGGAACCTCAGCCTTTATTACTCTTTTTAAATGAATCATGGATCCTCTCATCTTAGTTGGTGGAATTTGATTGGCCACAAGAGGTGGAGCAAGCCCTGTAGGATCATCCCCTACCTCTAGCAAAACCAAACGTGAGTCAGGTTCAAGCCAAATAACCTGAGACAATTCTTTGACTATGATGGTTGTTCTCAACAATGATGAGACCCACCAACTAATGGAGCTTCATCGAAAGGTGATGTTCAATTAGCCCTCGGAAACATCAATAGGCAAGGGGTCAAAGCAATTTAGGGAGAAGACTGAGTATAGCAGGGGAACGAGGGGTGAGTAAGAGGGCACTTGCCACTCCCCCACGAAAGTTTGGGATAAACCTTATTATCATTATGTATGGTATGAAAGATTATACTTTATGCTGTTATGTAATTATGTATATATCACAAAAGCACTACCATGTGACCATGTTTATTGCCAACATGACTTAAGTTGACAAAGAAGCCATGGAGGAAGCATATGTTACCATGTGCAGAGCCATAGATAGGTAAGGGGCAGGCTGCAATGTCCTTAGCGATGAACAGAATGAATAGTAATAAATCGAGCCAAGTCCATATTATTCATTTTTTTCTTTTTTTAATTGATTGTTTTTTAAATCAGCAGAGAATTCTGATGTAGGACTATGTATGATCTAAAAGAATGTGATCAGAATTTGTACGCTTTTGAGTAAGAGCAATAAGAATTAAAACATTAATCACTTAACGATGATAGAAAATAAAAGAGTGACTCCGCTTAGGCCAAATCACACGCTAATAGTTAAGATCACCAAAACTATTAGAATTTCAACATATGCAAATTTAGATGATGTTCAATAGCATTCCTAGATTAACAATGAGATAAGATGCATAGAAAATCAAAACTCATACCCTACGTTTACTAAGCATTGGTAGATAGATTTGCATGATTCTTTGTGCTTTATTCACAACCTACAAGAGAAGAAGATTAGGGAGAAAATTGAAGAGGAGTAAAAGTTCACCCTCGTCGTGGCACGGTCGTGATTTTCCACTGAACAGTAGAAAGCTGCTTTTCGATGGCTCCGGACAAGGTGAAGATGATAAGCTCTAAGTACTCCTCGGCGGAACTGTCTACTTCCGGATTGACGTCGAAGAAAGGCGACCGGAGGATGTCGACGAAGCCTTGTTCATTATAGATGAAGCCGGAGTCAAGATTATGATCAGCCATGCATCGATTTCGTAGTATTGAAGTGTTGTAGAAGATGTCCCTTTGTTGTCCTTGTAGATTTTTCTTGAGAGAAAGAAGTTTCTCTCAAGAATCCAATGAGGGGAAGAGGTGAAAGGGTGGTCGGCCAAAGGAAGGGGCTCGGGGAAGAATTTGGTTTAGATTTTGGGGAGGAAAGATGGAGGGAAATAAGAAATTATTTTCCTAGTTAATCCTTTAACTTGGAAAGGATCTAAGGGTGATTTGGAAAGAGGGAGGGTGCAGTTAAGAGAGAGGAAGAAGCTTTGAACTCTTTCCAAAGAGTGAGGCTTGAAATTTGGAAAGTATCCAAGTGAGGCAAGGAGGGGGCGGGCCACATAGGGAGAGGGCTTGGGGAAATAAGCAAGGGTTTTTATTACTTCGTTAATGGGGATTCTCAAATTAAGGAATTGGATTTAATTCAATCTAATTCAAATTTAATTTGGATTTGATTTTAGAAACTTTCCTTAAATAGGATTCTATTTTAGGAAATATTTTAAAATTCAAATTTAATTTTAATAATTGAAATTGAAAAGCTTTCCCAAAAGAGACCAAGTAAGAAAGGAAAGTAATGATGAGGAATTTGAAAATTTTGAGGCAAGAGGGAAGGGAGAGGCTAGCGGCTAGGCTAGGGTTTGGATTAGGGTTAGGTGGAGGTGGGGGAATTAAGTGGATCAACCAACCAAGGGGGAACCACCTTGGATGGCCGGCGACTAGGTAGAGTGGGGGAAGGGGTCTTGGCCAGTGGCTAGGTGGAGTAGGGGAGGGATCTTGGCCGGCAGTGGGGTTTTGGATGGGCCGTGGGATGGAAGGGAAGGGAGGGAGAAAGAAGAGGAAGAAATAAAAAGAAACTAGCCACGAACCCAACTCTTTCAAGGTTGGTGGGTAATCCGCTTCCCTCTCCAAGGGATTCCTCTCCAAAGACTCTCAAGCTCTCACAAGTACTCAATGTGCAGAAATTTGATTATAATTCATTCATTACCTTCAAAAGAAACATAAGGGGGGCTATATATAGTCTCATACAATGAAAGGAAAAATAAAAGACGACATAGCCCTTAGGGCTTACACATGACAAAACCCTTGAGGGTAAAAAAGGAAATGCAACTAAAATAAATATATAAAGCAAATAAATAAAACAAATACATATGAAGACTCAAAAATAGATCGGCGCGATCGTGGCCGTAGATCGTCGGCCACGTCTCTGATATACTATCCATGATCTGATGTCCCCATCAAATTCATTTTGTCTTAAAAATTAAAAAAAAATATAAAATATTGTAAAGCTTTTTTGCCAATGGGAAATGAGTAAAATTTCCATTACATGATGCTAATTCTCAAGAAAAAGTTCATGAAGAAGCACCGATTTATGCATTGTGCGCATCAAGATGTAATAAAAGAGTTAGACAGTAGATTAACCTTGTGAAATCCATGAAATAATGAATGGTTTTCTCCTCTTTCCATCCTCCATATACTCCAGCCCAAGGAGGAAGAGAGTGATGAAATAAAGTAAGCATCACCTTCATTCCATATGAACGTACTCTTTCAATGATCCATCTGTACCGCTCCAGGGCTGCAAAGTTAACCTAGAAGACAAATTAAATTTCAGACCAATAAACAGTAAAATTCCTCATATAATCATTCCTCGTCTCACCTTCCCAGCAAAACCTTTTTCTTTTAAATTATTTTTACTTTTTTTTAGAGAACAGAGAGACAATTTGAACCGCACAAACAACTTTTTTCACAGTTTCTTTGACAAGAAGGCGCCACCATAACCAATATAGCGGCTTTATCAAATTACCTACTTGCTTATTCTAGAATGTAATTGGCATCACAGCCCGCAACTCCCCACACCTCATTGTCACATCTATCAAAGGCATAAAATGATTATCTACCCAAAAGAAAACAATGAAAACGCTGAAAGAAACTTGAAATTAGATTTAACCTACGGAGACGTAAGAGTTCAAAGAGTATATCCTTGCTGCTGAAGGCCATTAATAAACTATTATCAAAGAAATATTTAAAAATTATAATTGGAGCTACAGCCAGACTGGTCAACTTACACTCTCATTCAACACATGTTCAGGTTCCTTTGGCATAATTCTTGACCAATCAATTCCCAACCGAAAAACAGTAATGCCAGTATCCTTGGCCAGCTTTAACTCTGTGTCAGGATCAGACCAAAATCTGAGTCTCTTCTGCCTGAAAATGAATCAGATTAGATGATAGGAATAACTCCTTACTTGGATACATCAATAAAAACAAATTTCAAGCAAGCATTTCTGCAACCGGACAAAATGAAGGTTTCTTTCTTTGTTTAGCAACACATGGTACAAAATAAAAATCTACCAATCCGTGAAAACAAACCAAGAAATAGAACAGCCCAAAATGAGTTTCTTGGTGGCGTTGAAGTTGGTAACGACTTTGGTGGTAGAGTCACCGAAAAGTAACTCTAAGCAATTTGAAAAGCAATGAAAAAAATAATTCCCAAAAGAAGCCATACATCAGGTTTATAGGGCAACAGAGTTGCATACTAGAGGGTTTAGAAGTTTCAGGCATTTAATTAGTGATATTAGAGATCAAAGAACTCAACCAGTCGAACTTTAGGAATCATCCCTGTTTTAAACGAGAAACAAACCAAACCATCTACCTATACATCTAAGCCACTCTGCTTATCAGAATTTCAAAAAATGGATAACGGTTAAAGCTCCTATATGAACAACATATGCAAAAAACTATCAACAAAACATACAGTTCAAAGATAAAGAACTTAAAAATACCTGAAAAGAAATGCAAGTATGGATAAAAGCACTCACGGATGAGGCACATTATGCCAAGCAGCAACATTATGGGTACAGTCTGTTTTTGAATCAGGCTCTGCCTCATCTGAAAACTTCTCAAATCCTCTAATCATAGCCTCCATGGCAATCTTAAGAGGCCTTTTTATCTTCCCCTTGATAGATTCTTTAGAACTGTGACCATCTGAGGAGGCTTGTTGAGAGCCACCATCAGCAGCCGCAGAAGCAAACACAGCATCAGTAGATTGCGCCTTCTGACTTTGATTAGATTCTCCACAGGGCTGCTCCTCTGCAAACTGAAGCCAAGCATCATCAAGCTTATCCTCAACATGAGCTGGTGCCGTTGCAAGTCCAAAGAAGAATCCATTTTCCTCTGCACGCTAGATTTACAAAATTAGACCTGAAGCAGGAAACTTTAGAAAGAGAATACCATTTAAAATCAAAAACAGCACAAATATTCGGTGTTATAAATAACTATTTGTTAACGAGCAGGATTATAGAGCAAGGAATATTAACGAAGAACATTGCTCGGGATAGATCATCATTCATGGCATTTCCTCAAAATGTTGACGAGTTTAATGTACATCAACTCAAAAAACAAATCTGAATAAATATAGTGCCTGTAGTGTCCACTCATAGTACCTGCCCGTTAAACTCATCCAAAAGAAACATGCCTTCAAATCAGTTGCATGGATGGCTATAGCAACGATTCTACATCACTCAACATAAGTTTGAATTCATTTTAGCCCATCTCATAGCAACAATCTTGCCATTTGCCTATAAGGGCATCTCCAACCAAAAAACCCATTTTTCACTCTAAAATACAATAAAACTTCAAAATGTCATAATTCATCTCCAATTGAACTGTATTTCTTTCTTCTTTCATGCACTTCCTGCGAAGGTAATCATCTTTCTCTTCTTTCACGTGCTTTTCTTTCTTTCGCACTATTCTTCAGCAAATTCCGCAATTCAATTTTTTGGAGTAGGTGAACAGTGCGACGCCACCAATATTGGCATCACATTATTCACCAACGGAATTTTGGCATGAGATTTGGAGTTTGCATGCAACAAATGATGTACGACATACAGTGGTATGCAGTCTGGTTGGAGATGATCTAAATAGAAGTTTTTGTCAAGCATAGGGCGCCAAATTCTAGAGCATAAGAAAGCCAACTTCTCTTTTCTCGCTCTCTTTCTAAATCCAGTACTGGAAATGAATCAATCTAGTTGGGTTCTTTGTAACAGTTTACTTGGGAGATCACAGACATTGATCAAGTCTTCCTATCAATCTCTCATCTCTAATTGCATGGTGGGCCAAGTAGGGTTCAACTTACTTTCCAATGAATACAGTTAACTTCCTTACATAAATCAAGTATATTTTTATTTTGAAGTTTGCAAACGCATTTAGCTTATAATATCATCTAAAATAGGATCATTCAACACCAAAGCATCTCAACATCATTCCAAATACCTAATATAGCAGAAAATCACGAAAAAAAATAATTGGTAAGAATACGTGGCCCATTGAAGCTTATTTCTCCAAGTTCACCATTAGTGCCACATACATTAGAGAAAAGAAAAAAAAAACTTGCAATAGCAAAAGTAAGAGAAAGCTAAAGCGCGCAAGGTCAGGGTTTTCGAGACTCGGACCGGAGGTAGAATTGACATTGAAGGCAGCAAGGACATCGGCGGACTCGTCGATGGGAGATCGGAACGGCCTGAGGAACTTCCTCCGGTAACGTGAGAAGGAGAACACATTCGCCGCCACGGATAGCGTCACCACGATTCCAGCGAGCTTCATCGCCCCCACGATGAGCACCATCATCCCCATTTCACCGCTCTGCAATGTATGGCGCGAAAGACGATATCCAGAATCCGGTAGCAGCTTGTCAAGGTAGATAAATCATAAATGTATTATTTTAAATCGATAAGTATGAGAAACCCGACTCAAAGAGTCAAGCATTTAATAAATTATATATTATATATATTTCCAACGAGGTAAAATTCCAAGGAAAATAACAGCGATAAATTTTTAAAATAATTTAATTTAGCGCCTAGATAACTGAGATACAGCAAAATCTGATAATTTTATAACCTATTGGGCATTTAATCTAATATTTTTAGGCTTCATTTCGGACGATTTTTTATTATTTCAAAAAATATATTTTTTTAATAAAAAAATTAATTCAAGATATTTTTGCTAACTAAAAAATCACTTCATAAGCCTAATTTAAGGCATTTCTTATAATATTTAATTCAAAAGCTTTTTTTTTTAAGCTTTGTTTGGGAAAGTTTCTTATTGCTTCTAAAAGCGATAAATTTTTAAAATAATTTAATTTAGCGCCTAGATAACTAAGATACATCTAGCAAAATCTGATAATTTTATAACCTATTAGGCATTTATTCTAATATTTTTAGGCTTCGTTTAGGACAATTTTTTATTACTTCAAAAAATAGGTTTTTAATAAAAAAATTTAATTCAAGATATTTGCTAACTAAAAAATCACTTTAGAAAAAAAATTTGCCCCAAATGAAGCATAATTTATAGATGGCGTTGGTGGAGCAGTGGTGGTTCGACGGAACTCCGGCGGTGATCGAGGAGGCTAGGAAGCAAGAGCGATCTCCAATCTCTTTATTTTTTCCTTAGGCTTAGGAGGGTCTTCTTTCAAGAGGAGAGGGATCTCTATTTATAGATTTTGGGAATGGCATGACCTATAAATAAGTGGAGGATCAAGGGCAAGTTGAGAGTGGTTGGATGGATGGCAGATGTTGAATCCCTCAATCATGAATCGTTCGATGGACATTTGAATGTCTTAGTGATGTCGATCGAAATTCAGTGATCTTGGGTTCGTTGGATTCGTCTCATGGAGCCGCTCGATTCGAGTATAAATTGTTATGTTTGGAAACCGTTTGGTAATCCAAATTGTGGTTCGAACCTTCCAACAGCGCTTCGGGTCCTTGATTTGGACCAATTTGGGCTTGAATTGGGTCGAATTTGGTGTCGTTGGGTTCGTATTTCCGAGACGCTCAGTTCGACTGTAAGTTTGCTAAAATCGGAGATTGGATGCTCCTAATTTTAATTTCGGAAGTTTCCAACTTGATTTTGCTTTGAGATTCATGCCCGATCATGATAATTTTTGGACGATGTATCATATATCATTTCCAAAATACCTAAAATATGTTCATGAAGCTACGATATTGTCCTTGGTCCACAAAAATAGTTGGGATATTTTACAAATTTATAAATTCCTATGCATTTATTCATGAACAAGCTACTTTAAAATAATTAAAACACATAATTATTTAAAATTTTTATGAATTTTTATGGACTCGCGCATCGCAGCTCGTTGGTTGACGCAAATTCTTTCCTCCCCTCGAGCTCGCGTTAGAATCACCTCAAATTCCCCAAAAAAGAAATTTCTAGAGCCATAGAACTCTATCTTGTGCCTTTTAAATTTTTTACCTAATTTTAAAATTTTCAAGCATTCAAATTTTTTTATTATATTGATTTTAAAATTCATGATAATAAGAATAATAACTTTCTAATCATTTTAATGAAACATTTTAATCAAGAAAATTATAAAATAATTATAATAATACTATTATTTATTTATTATTTTAAAATATAAAAAAGGCATCATCATACATGAATTTCTCTCTTAAAATAATATATATAAATTTTATCATGCATCATAAATATAATTTTGATATTTTTCACACCATGCATATTGCATCATATTACTTTGTAATTTAAGCTAACCACTATTTGCAATATGTTTGGAGCCAATGATTCCATGTGATGCATAGATATGATCAACAATATCTATGTCTACATAGAGACCATGTTAGGCTAGCATGATGGCAAATTTTATGTGATCATTATGTCTCATATATGATACAATCTACACAATGCATATAGGCTTATATACCATATGAACATTTCCTTTAGCTTGTTAGGTTGAACACATGAATACCTTAATTTATTTGCATGTAGATGTCTAGGACCTTATGTAATTTATTACAAGTGAAGTGATAAAATAATAAGGCTTTTTTGGGACAAATTTCTTAATGTTTTTCGTAATAATTTTTTGACACGAAAAGTCTATAAAAGCAGCGAAAAAATAATGATCAAAAGTTATTACAAACGATTGGAACAGCTTTCTTACTGTTTTTTAAAGTAATTTTGTAGTACAAAAATTTATTGAAATTAAACATTTTGTACTAAAAAACGTCATTAAAAAGCATTATGAAAACTATCCCAAACAAAACCTAAATATCTAAATTTGTGATGCAATAACTTATTTTTATGTTGTTATGTATGTTGTAATGGAAACTGTGATTATGATAATCATCTATTTGAAAGGATCTAGGATAACATGTCATGAGAGATGGATAATCATAACTCTCTCTCTATATATATATAATAATAATAATAATAATAAGAAAACAAAATTTATGTGATAACTGCAACATCTAAAGCAAGCAGAAAAGCTTGGAAGCTGTCATTAATGAATACTAATTACATCTTTTAGCAAATTCCTGCAACAAATTTAGAGAAATATGAACGTCAGAACAAAGTAGAACTTTGAAATTTAAAGGAAAAATCAGCACAACACAACTTTGCTCAATGAGAACAAAGAAAGAGATCACTATGAAAAAGAAATAAGAAACCAAAGCTAACAATCATCAATAAATATCTATAGTGCTTTAAAATAGAGGTAAACAACACAGAATACTCCCAGTTCTTCCAGGAATGGAAAAGCATTACAAAAGCCTCCTTCCTGGTTCCTAAATTTCCACTCTTTGCTGACTTATCAAGGTATTATAACACTACAACCAAGGTATCAACAAATACAAACAAATACCTGAACAAAGAGAAAGTCCTAAGTTCAATTTCTAGAACTACTGTATGTCAGGAACACAACACTGGTACCCTTTTTACAAAAGCTAGCAGAATCAGATCCGTTTGAGCAATGATGCAAGCAGTAGCTTTCAGACTCTCAAAGCAAGCTGATCTTGCCAAGAGATTTTTCGCTTTCCAGAACGGTTCGAGCTGCTTCCAATGTCTCTGCAGACTGAGAGCTTAAGATCATCAGCCATTACGCCTTCAATCAAGCTTCTTCTCAACTTCACCATCTTCAGGTTCTCCCATTCCACATCAAAAGAATCAATTTCTTCATCATTCTGAAAAGCAAACAGGTTGGAAGAATCAAAATTGACAAGCTTATTGAAGTAAGGAAACCTGCTTTAGTTGACTTAAGGAGAATCATACGATTACCGGTAAGGAGGCCTGGTTCAAATCTATTAGTTTCCGAGTAGCTTGGACTGAAGTCTCTTTTGATCTGCAGTTCATTTCTTTTGAGGGCAGCTCAGCTTTATTAACCAGACAAGGAGGTCGAGTAACTTGCTTAGAAGGGGAGAGAGTTTTGTAAGATTTTTTCTTCGATTTGCATGAGAAAGGCTGAGAATTGTTGGCCAGAGACTGGTATTTTTTCGTCAAAAATCTACAGCATATACGTTGAATGACACAAATCATAAAATGAAATATGAGCTAATGGAGTGACAAACAAGAATCAAGAGAAGAGGCAGCTCTTACTGGACTTCAGCCAAGAGCCTGAACTTTCTCCGTATTGCCTTCTGCAATCTCTCCCTTTTTTCTTTAGTTTCCTAAGATAATTCACAAATGAACTCCAATGATTGATAAAATAATCAAATATTTAAATTCTGTTAACATAAATCCATGAAGGGAGCATTGGATTACAACAAAAGAAGCTTGGTAGAATGGTAGGCACTTCCATATGAATACACCAAAATAAGTTATAGAAGAAAATGAATCAAAAAGAAGTATTAGTATTGGAACCACAAAGCATGAAAGATTAAGAGTATTGAAAAGAAATTAAACAACAGATAACCTTGTTTGTCAGGAGTCTAATCAAATCTTTTTATCTATTTTTTTAATAATATTTTATAATCAATGCTAAAAGAGTTGTAACTATAACACAATTATTATCCATTTTTAAAAGATTAAATTTATAATGCTCAGAATAATTTTAAAAATTTTCTTTATCTTATCATTTTTATAGAGGTATAACCAACCTAAAACGCCCTAAACTAGAACTTCCCAAACAAGTTTTGAGGGGACTTAAAATACTATCTCACCCAAATTCCTAACTTGAAATTTTTTGGATAAAACTTAGCTTAAAACCAGAATTTTTAGAAACTCAGTTCTCAGATGAGTTTTATTAGGCTTCATTTGGGACAGCTTTAGATCACTATTTTTTCCCTGCTTTCCAGAGATTTTTGCATTAAAAATCAGCTTTATAAAATAATAAAAAGTAACTTTATAAAACAATAAGAAAGCCACTCCAATGAAGCTTTAGGGTTTATTTGTCATTGCTCAACTTTTTGTAATGATAATTGTGAATCTATTGTGATGAAAATAATTTTTTTTGAAAGTTGTCTGAAAATCAAAGCAGTAATAACATACCCTTAAAGAGTTCAGTTTTGGGATTTGATTCGATTTAAGAATAGGGCAACCAAATAGTTCCCTGATTTTACTCCATCAAGGTTTACACAATCCTATTCATCAAAATCAGATTTGATAAATCGGTTTAGAACCAAACAGCCCTGAAATTCAATACCAATTAAGGAAAACTCATCAAACAGAAACCCTAGATGCCTCAAAGAGACATCCATCAGAGAATCTAAACAATAGATCCGTAAAAGAAAATTATAAGTAAAAACCTAGATCTACAGAGGAAGTCCAAATACATATGAAATCTTACAAACCAAAACAAAAGAAATAAAAAACGTCAGATATCTTCTACTAATTTTAAATATTCTCACCTTGAGCAAATCCTGATAATCCTCTAACAGGTACTGATGCTTCATCCTCGCCATGGCTTCCTCCCCAACCAGGAAAGAACAAGATGGGGCTGGATCCATTGAAACCCTAATCTTTTTCTTCATCATTTTCCCAAAAGCAAAGAAGACGAAAAAGGAGACGGTAGAGAAAAGGAAAAAGCTAGAGGAGAAAAGAAGGAAAGTTTCGAATGGGATGCGAACCGCCTTGCAAGGATGTCATAAAGATATAGAAGAGATGAGAGAGGAGAGAGAAGGGAAGGGGGAAGAGGAGATAACGGAGAAATAAAGGTGGGGAGGTTGAGAAAGAAAGGGAAGTTTCCTTCCCCGTTTTTCTCTCTCTCCATTGAGAGTCTGACCGGTACAAAATACGAAAGGTCATCTTTGCTGCAAGAAGAGAAAGTTTAGTTTTTTCCACCATTTCTGCGATGATGGAAGGAAATGACTGGATTTATTTGGGGGTTTGCAAAGGGGCAATTGTGACACCTCCATTACTTATTTTTTTTTGTTTTGGTGGGAAGCGTTTGGTTTGGCAAGTCATCTCCTTCTTTCCGCCTTTCGCTCTCATTCACTCTCTCTCTCATCTTCTTCGCATCCTTATTTGTCTTACTTTTCACATAAATTCGGCCCACCTTGGTCATAAGGATGAGACATGAAGGGAACTGGTCTCCATGGCTTGCGGTATAGATACTTTGCCATTTGCTACCTCTAACCTAGAGAGAGAGAGAGAGAGAGAGAGAGAGCTGTTGCAACTTCTATGATGCTGCTGTTGATGGTGGCGCCGGGTGCTCTATACACTGTAGCTCTGATAGGCCTCCCATGGGTGGAATGTGTAAGTGACAGACTTTAAGGTAAACTTTAGAAAATTTCAAAAATAGCCCTTTTTACCTGTGGTTTTTATTTATACCACTTTATTTTTGGGGGGTGGAATAAAGATAAATTGCAATTAATTATGCAATATCATGAAAAATAAATTAGGTTTAATTAAAGACTTAATTAGGTCATAATTTATTGCCCGAGTTAGTTGAATCAAAATAGGTTAACAAGTCGGATTTAAGTCGGACTTGAAATTTGTCTGACTCAAATCCAATCAATGTGAATCCAACCCGTTTAATAAATGAGTCAAAAATATCAACCCAAAATCGGCTTATTAACAACCTTAATGACTTGAATTAGACCTATAAAACATATTTTAATTAAAACAATTTAATAATTTAAAAATTAGAAGATTATACCAACAAATTAAATCTATTATTTTTTTAATAAAAAATGGGTTTGCGGGTAAACCTAAATGGGACTCGTAACTAGGGGTGTCAATTTCGGGTCACGGGTCGAGTTCGGGTTGAACCCGAACTAACCCGGGTTCAAACGAGTCCACCCTAACCCGACCTGGGTAGATAAACGGGTCGAAAATCCGAACCCGGACCCAACCCGGCAGGTTGCCAGGTTGACCCGTCCCTACACGGGAAGGAGACCAGCGCCGCAGCGCGGACGGGTCGCGGTCGAGAGAGAACGCCGGCGGCGACTCGGACGCG